GACGAAGATATTGCTTTATGTTTGGCATGGATTTCAATTAGCGAAGATGGTGCCGTCGGCACCAATCAAAATAGAAAGGTTTTATGGGGTAAAATCGTTGATAAGTTCCATGAAAACTCCAACGCCGGTCGAAGGGAAGTTGGTGGTGTTTATGATCGGTGGAAGATTATCAACAAAGCGTGCACTTTATGGAAAGGAAGCTTGGAGAGAGCCATGGTTGACATGCCTAGTGGAAGGGGCGCCTCAGAAATTGTGAGTTTATTTGTTGATATTTTAGTTGTCATGTACATAATAGTATTTTGCAACTAATTGTTTTTATGTATTTGTTGCATAGGGTGACAAAGCAATGGCAATTTACAAGACAAGAACTACACCAAAAAATCAAGCTTTTAAGTTGCATCATGCTTGGAACATCCTTAAGGATTGTCCGAGGTGGGGAACCGATGCGAACCAACAATGTGGAAGATTATTTCATAATGAAGTCCCACCCCCAAATGATGTCAATGAAGGTGTGAATTTTGCCGACAATGAAGGTGTCGAACAAATGACCCCAACTTCTTCTTTTGCAAGGCCCCCGGGTAGAGATAAGCAAAAGGAAGCAAAGAGAAAAGGGAAGTCCCAAGATCCGACACATGCACAATTTGCTAGCGAAATGGCAATAATGAACGAAATCCAGTGCCGTCGACAAGAAGAATCGGCCCAAATGCGTTTGGCCATGAAGGAACAAGGGGATAGGGAGCAAGAAAGGTACGAAACAAATTTGATAATGGAGGACCTCGACAAATACACTCCAGAGAGGAAGAGATACTTACGTGGTAAGCAAAAGGAAATTTTACGAAGGAATGCCACAAGGAGTATATTTCAAGATGATGATTCATCTCAAGACTATCACCCAAGTCCATCACCAAGTCAAGATGGTGAATATCATTATTAAGTTTATGTAGTCTATGAGTTTTCGATTGTATTAAGTTTATGTAGTTTATTAATTTTTATTTTTATTTTTTAAGTTTATGTGGTTTATTAATTGTCTTTTTTATTTTTTAAGTTTATGTGGTTTATGAAATGTCGTTGGTATTAAGTTTATGTGGTTTATCTTGATTTTCATGTATTGATTTAGTGATTTTTCAAAATTTATCGGAATTTAAATATTTTTAGGTTAAAATGTTCATAAAATTAATTTATGATAGTCTACATAATTTTTTTTTTTTAAAAAGTTAATTTAAAAAAAAAATAGCCTTAATTCATTCTTTGATAATCTGGGGCTAAAATTTTAAGTCAGAATGGTTGGAGTAGAAAAGCTGTTTCTGGGTTAAAACCTAAATTTTATGGGCTAAATATTTTTAGGTTTTAGGTCACCATTGGAGATGGTCTAAGAGAGTGGTTATTCCCACCTCAATGTCTTATCTTCCCATCCATTTTTTTATGAATTTTTTAATTACAAATCTATCAATTTGCAAGATGACTAATAAGGGCCTTAGTTACCCCTTTTTGCATTACTTTTTTTTTTTATAAAAAATAAAAAAGAAAAGTTTGGGCGTGATAACTTTCACGCTATGTTTAGACGATTTGTCTCCCTTAAACCCTAACTCATCCTTCCATCTCCTTTCATTCAAAGAAAGCAAAAAGAATGAACTTAGAAGATGATGTTTATATGAAAGAAGTAGATGATTATGTTTCCGTCGAAGAGGTAAAAGATAGGGTAAAATACAAAAAACTACCTCAACTATGGGTCGAACGACACTTTCATACCTCATCTTTTTAAAATGACAATGTCATACCTCATCTTACAAATTTGTGACAATGTCAAACCTTTATCAGTTTTTCTGTTAATTTTTCTGTTAAGTGCTGATGTGGCTAATCCAACTGGATTAAAAAATAATTAAATATTATAAAATTAAAAATATAATTATTTTTTATATAAATTTGTGGGATCCACCCTCTCCCTCTCTATCATTTCTCCTCTCTCACCTTTCTCTCTTCTCTCTCTCAAGACACCCACATCCCCAAAACCCAGAAACCCTTCCCACCCATTCCCCCCTCAACCTTCCTCCACCACCCTCTCTCTCTCTCTCCCCCTTTATAAAACCCACCTCAACACTCTCAGCTTTCTCAAACCTTCTTCACTCCCACCAACAAAATAAAATTATAAAAATAAAAACCATTTTCTCTCCAATTATTTTTCTCCGACATGTACGGCGACCAAGATTCGACGAGTTCGATCCAAAAGCCCATTGTGATCCGTGAAGTCTGGGCCCACAATCTAGAATCCAAATTCGAGCTCATCTGAAACGTCATCGACGCCTACCCTTTCATCTCCATGGACACTGATTTTCCCGACGTCGTCTTCCGACCCCCGTCGACCGAATGGTGGGTGACTCTAGATTGGTTAAGACGTCACCGATCTTGTTGAAGATAAAAGAGGAGGGAGTCGGAGAGAATTGCAGGTTGTAGGGATGGGGATGGGGGAAAAGCTGTGGGTAGCCCATAGAGAGAGAGAGAGAGAGAGAGAGAGAGAGAGAGAGAGGAAAGAGAGGGTGGTGGAGGAAGGTTGGGGGGACGGGTGAGGAAGGTTAGGGTTTTCTGTTTGAAAATGGGGAATTAGGGTTAGGGTTTAGGTTCGAAAGGAACGAGAAGAGGAAGAGGTAGGGGAAAGGAAGAGGTGGAGGATGGGGATAGGTCGGGGAAGGGTTTGGTGGCTGTTGAAGAGAAGAAGAAGGTTGGTGCGGGTGAGGAAAGGGGAGGCCTGCACCCCTAGGCCATTTTAAACTTTTTTGTTATTTTTATTCTTAATTTTTTAATTTTATAATATTTAATTATTAAAAATATATTTAATTATTTTTTAATCCAATTGAATTAGCCATGTCAGCATTTAACCAAAAATTAACAGAAAAACTGATAGAGGTCTGACATCGTAAGATGAGGTAGGACATTGTCATTTTAAAAAGATGAGTTACGAAAGTGTCGTTCGACCCATAGTTGAGGTAGTTTTTTTGTAATTTACCCTAAAAGATAATTTTATGTAGGTCATCTTGATTTGTCAACATCATATAATTGAAGCATAGCTCTGTGACATTTTATCTCTAATTATATATATATATATATATATATATGTATATATTAAGAGTTATTTTAGGAATAATAGTGGGTGGGAAAATAACATTTTAATTTTTTAACTTTTTATAGTGGGTGTAAATATAACGTGGGTGGAAAAATAAGACAATTGGATGAGTCTAGCAACTCTCTATTGTAATCAACTCTAGTACACAGAATGGGAAGAGATTTAAAATTAGGTGCTAAGTAGTCGATCCGGTTAGATATATTGACGTGACTAATTGATTTAACTCACATCTACTTGTTAAGAAATTCTTTAAAACTGATTCTCAAAGCATGATTATATACCAACAATGTAGAGCCCTAAAGCACATAATGAAGGCAAAATAAGAAGACCTCAAATCACCAGCAGCTTTTGAATATATTCCAAGGGTCACAACAAGAAGCCAAAGTTTCATAGCAAATAAAAAGGCCCTATCAAATAAGTTCTCAAAGGTCATTAGTTTTCTACTTGATGTATCAGATTCCAACAGAGAAGGATGAACTAGGGAAGGCCAACTACCAAACACAACACGGGGCCGTTCCATAACGTTGACGACGTAGTCCTCCATAACGTTATTACGGGACGGAAGACGAAAATACAATGCACAACCAATTTCTGAATAGAGAGGTAGAATATACAGAACATGTCATGACAGATTCAAACCTTGATTTGATGAGTAGAAAAAAATTCCATTTGTATGGTATTTTCATCATACATCTTCAAAGCTTGATGCGGCATCGCATAAACCGTCTACCACGGCATGCTCAACCGCTGCACGTCCAGAAAACAAAATGCAGACAAGCAAGCAATGGTGTGCGATCAGCAAGACAAACAAGGTTTCAGCTAACTGAAAAACAAATACAAATATCAATCCACTAGACAAACTGGGAGCTAGTCCAAAGATTAGATGCACTTAGTAGAAACTTGCAGTGAGAGGATGGCAAAAATCGCTTATTGTCAAACGAGACATCCACTAAAAACAGGCATCTGCAAGAAAAACATCCTCGGCACAGTAGCAGTAACACAGTTAGAGTTACAAGACATCAATCAACCTAACATAAAGAAAAATCTTCCAAGGTGTGAGTGCCGGGAACTCAGGATACCATTCTAAACTATACTCAACCATTTCACACCGATAATACTCTTAATCAAATCCTAGTTGACTTCAAGGGAGTTCGAACTTCTGCAAACTGTAAAATATCAAGCAAATTACATTTACCCAAAATGTCAGTCACCTTTGTTTTCCAGATTATCTACTACTGGTGCAACAAAAGCAGTCGCACGAAAGATGAGATGAAAAAATTAGTTTGCATACGCAGATAGAAAGTAGACTACTTTTGAGTTGAACATGCTTGGACAACAACTAGAACTTGATAAGAAAGCTCTGAGCAACATTAGCCAACATCACTTTCACCGAAAGCTTAATTTGACAAGAATATCGAACCTTTCCGAAAAAGAAATCTTGTTCGTTTGCTCACAACCAAGGAAAAGGTTTCTTATAATTGTGAGAAATGTGAACTTTGTTTCCATAAATGAAACATAGAAAATAGGAAGAACTACTTCCGAAATAAGGTTTAATTCAACGAAGAATGGTTCTGATTAACTCTCATACAATTGCAATCACATTGTACCGACAATCTAAACTCTCAAAAGAGTACAATGCAACAAAAGTTTAACATGGTTTACCAAAAAGGGGCTGTCAAACACTCAAAAACGCCTCTGATCATGCAAAGGACCAAATGCATGCTCCAAGAAGCAACATTATGCATAAGTAAACATACTGAACTATAACCACACAAATTTGATTATGCAATAGGAAATATTTATTTCCAATTCCAAATGCACCCGCTTATAAAATCTTGAGCATAAACATCTCCGAACAAAGCAGATCAAGACTCAGTAGATCAATACTCACAACAGAAATCCAGATAATATAATCCACGGAACATTGAAGCGCAATGCGAAATTACCAAAGTTTAAATATTTAGGACGTCATTAAGTATACAGGCATCACAAGAAATCCATGATAAATACGAATAGATCTCGATATGAAAGCCCTAATACGAAGCTTAGAGTGACCTAACACACATGGATAGATCATTACTCTTCGGCCATAGCATCCTCACTGGCGGCGGCAGCGGTGGGGTCCACCGCAGAGCTCGCAGTCTCGGGCTCCGCGGCGCCGTTTTGAGCAGGGGAAGCAGCCGCGTTCCTGGACTTGACGCTGTCGAGCATGCGCTTGCTGATCTCCTTGGAGTAAACCTGCAGGATCTGAATCCCGTCCTCCTCGGTAGCGGCGGAGCCACCGGCGGCGGCGAAGGCGTCCTCCTCGATGAGGCGGGCGGTGTCGGAAGCCTCGTCGGCAGTCATGGTGCCGTAGCGCTTGGAGAGAGGGGAGGGCGTGGTGAGGGTCTCGATGAGGCGGTTGACGACGGCGTCGCGGGTGCGCTGGGTCGGCGGCCATATGCTGAAGGAGGTGTGGACGCTGGGCTTCTCTTTGTGAGCTGGTGCGTCGTGGTGCTTCTGCTGTTCGGATTCGGGCTCCATGGCGGAGGTTTGGTCTTGCGGTGATGCAACGGCGGTGCCCTCGGAATCCGACATTTCGATGAGGATTTGTGGAGGTAAAATTAACGCTAAAATTCAAAAAAATATAAAGAGAAAATGAGAGAGTAAACAATTTGTTGGTGAATTTCAATTGCGAGAAAACAATCTATATATATAGGTGAGATTAAAGCTTAACAAGATGGATTACCTTAGAAGTGAGCGCTGATAGTGAAATGTTTGACGGTTCACCTTTTTCCTTCTTTATTATTTCTTTTTTTTTTTTTTTTGAAAAAGGCTAATTAGATTGGTTGCTGGGTTTCCTTGGTTAGGTTAGCTGTTTAGGGTCTTGGGTTTGGGTTAGGCCCATTGAATGAAGTGGGCCGTTCAAGTCTTCACATTTAGATTTTAACAGTTTGGGCTAATTACATTCCACATTTTTTCAAGTTTGGAATGATTTTCTCGTATTATAAGCTACTGTGTAAGTTACATTTGCATCATATGGACAAAAAGAATTCATCGTAAAGCTTCAACTATTCTAAATCGATCCTTTACATTCCAAACCGAGAACCAATTGCACATTTTGGTCCAAATAGTGCAAATGTGGCTTACATGCCTACAAGTGGGTCTCACATATGAAATGTCATCGATGTTTAACAAAGGATTAAATGTTCAAACAAACAAAAAGTATAACTTAATACAATTTCAAAACTTCAAAGTTACTAATATATATTTAACAATGGATCTATGAGAATTCTTAAGCGGGCTAGGTGAGTGCCTCATCAAGTCTGAATGTCCTTTTTTAATTATTAAACACTTAAAAATTGATCGTAATAGTGACCAACGCCTAGAGCGTAGGCCTATATCATTTCACATAGAAGACAGCATGATTGGGCGTGGTTTACAAATAGCCTCCAATGGCTCGACCCTTTGCATGACAAGGCCCAAACCTTCACTCATGTCCACCTTCCCTTCACCAACCCTCCCCCACTCAAAAGACTGAATCAAACTCCCCAGCGCCAATCCAACCAACCTGTTTCCTAAGCCAGCCCCAGGACATCCACGCCTTCCATTCCCAAAAGGAATTAACTTGTACCCTTGAGCGCCCTCGCCACTCCATCCTTCAAACCTCTCCGGCTTAAACTTTGTAGGGTCCTCCCAAATCTCAGGGTCCCTATGAATGGCCCAAGCGTTGATCACCAGCATTGTGTGACGTGGCACATCATATCCCCCCACCACACAGTCCTCGGAAGCTTCGTGAGGCACTAGAAGCGGGACAGGTGGGTACAAGCGATGCGTCTCATGGATCACATTTTGTAAGTACTTGAGCTTTGGCAGGTCTTGCTCTCCCAACGGACGCTCTTGTCCAACGTTTGTGTCTATCTCAGCTCTCACTTTCTCCATCTCCTCTGGATGGTTGAGCAACAACGCCATTGCCCAGTCAAGAGATGATGATGAAGTGTCTGTCCCTGCTACTAGCAACACCTACAATAATGTTTGCATTTCTGGTCATATCATGGTGACATGTGAGAAATAGAAAGAAGATTATATATACAATTGATTTCTGGTCATATCATCATGGTCTTATCCACACTTTATACATTAACCATATGGAGAAATAAGTTTTGAATCAACTCCAAAGATAAACATTATGTGATTATTGTACACCACACATTACAATTCATGTCTCTTTGTCATTTATATCTGCAGTATTTTGGGCTGACGATTGTATTTATTTTACTCTTTACATAAAGAGTAAAAGACTGATTGAAAAATATACACCGAATTACATGATGACGTAAGACAATTAACAAAAATGAAAATTAATGAAAATGGTTTGAAAACTTTAAATTTTAATCAAAATAACAAAAAGGTGTTGTAAGTGAATAGTATCAGGAGTGACTTTTAGAGTAAAAATATCCTTAACGTTAAAAGTAAACATTACGTACCAGGAGTATTTCGTTAAGATTTCCTTAACAAAATCCTTATCCAATTATTTTATACATGCATCTAACTGCCGACATCAAATATATGTATAATGTAGTCATCAACGGCTAGTGTTAGATAGATTAAATTTACAAACTACATTATATGACACTAATAAGAAATAAACACATTAATCAATACTTAAATAATAATTCAATCATCAAATGTTGTTTGTAAAATTTTATCTACAAATTTAGCATCTCTAATATAACCCTCGTTACACTAACAAAAAAAAAGTGTAATAAAATTCTTAAGTAATAATTCAACCATTAATTATTATTTGTAAAATGTTATCTACAAATATGATCTTTCTAATATTACCTCGTTACATCAACAAAAAAAAAAAAAAAAAAAAGTGTAATATAATGTGCGACAGCTGCGACGCATGACATTGACAAATTTTTCATTTGATTAATAAGTAAGTCAATGAAACCGGCAACTAATTATGGGGAAGGAATCCCAAAATGCTAATGGTTGAAACGGACAGAAAAGTAAAACAGCAGCAAATTTAATTAAAAATTACGCACCAAAATAATTCCCTTGATTATTTCGTCGGTGTAAACCTGGGAATCCGTTTCTTGGAGCTTCAACAGATTATCAATCGTCAACTTGCCAACCTCTTCGCCATTAGATGCAAAATCTGATGACAAAAATGCACGACGCTCTTCCACCAAACCCTGCAAAAAGCTATCCAACTTTGCCATTATTCTCACCATCTTCTTCTCAATCCCCGTTATGTCCATCCACTGTAAAAAGGGTAAAAAATCTCCAAGATTTGTTGCCCCGGACAAGTCCACTCCGTCCCTCATGACCTTCTGTATATTCTTCGCCTCTTCAACATCCAAAACATTTTCACCATAATACCTGTTGAATATCCAAAATTAAGAAATTGACAAAACAGTTTTGAATGTATACTAACTTGGTTTCATTCCCTTGGATAAAATCTTACTCATGCTAGATTAGCACTGGTGGTTAAATTAGAAACAGCATCTGTGTTAGAACAATTGAATTATTGAAAGTACCTCTTTCCCAAAATCATCATCGTCATCGCATTAAACGAAAGCTCGGTAAACTTGGACTTGAGGTCGATCGGTACGCTTCCACTCTTCATTATCTGATTCAGTAAAAGCCGAACTTCTCCCTGTCGAACACTCGAAAACATGACGAGGCGGGAGGAGGAGAACATCTCGAGGGTCATAATACGGCGAAGGTTGCGCCAGAGGTCTCCATAGGGAGCTACAGAGACCGTTGTGAAGTCGTAGTTGAAGTGTTTTCCCGCGAGCAAGCGCGGGCGGTTAGCGAAGATGATGTCGTGCTTCGTCAAGCATTCTTCGGCTATCAAAGGCGAAGACACTAGGAGGACTTTGCGTGAGCCCCAGCGGAGGAGTATGGTTTTGCCGAATTTTGAAGAAAGGGATTGGAGAGTTCGGTGGACTGGCTGTTTAAGAAGATGGAGGTGGCCAATGATGGGGAGTGATGGTGGGGATGGAGGAAGATTCTTATTGTGATTTTGTGTGATTTTAGTGATGGAGAGCTTGAGAATCACAGGGAAGATGATGAGTAGTGCCAGACTGTACCAGAAGTACGTTTCTTCCATTCTTTGGTATTTGATTGTGGTTTTACATGTGAATTGTCCAGAACTATGAGTTTGCACACTGCAGTTCTAAAGATCTGCAAGAACCTTTGCAAAATATTGGCCGCCAGGTTTGACTTGGGACTAAATGAGTATGTGGTATGACTTGGAATTGACTGAAAAGATAAGGAAAATACCAATATTATATTTCAACGGGATGGGGCACTCAAACTAAAAAAAGGTTTTCTTCTAATTCTGCCCTTGGAGGCCGATGACCCAGCTTGTTTGTTGAAGAATAAGGTCAATCGAAGGCTGATCCAGCTTGTTTGTTGAAGAATAAGATCATCTTCAATTGAAGGCTAATTAGAAGGTTCGTTTTAATTTTGTCATAAAAAATTATCTCCAATCAAAGGTTAAAGGGTCATAGGGCCAAACATAATTTGTTATTTAAAAACTACAACTTAAATTCAAATCTAACGGCTAAGTGACGTCAGCTAGCCGTTGGATTTGAATTTTTTTTTTTTGTTATAAATAGGGTGGATATTGGGCTATAATTCACACAACTTTGAATTCAATATATTTCAATTCAATATCTTTCAATTTATGTTGCTAAATGTTGAATTCAATCCCTTAATTTAGGGCCATTTGTTGAGCTGGAGTACTGCCAAAATTGCTAGGAATCAGTTGACCACTTTTTGCTATACTCGGGTTCAAAGTTTTGTACTTTCCTCTTCTTCTATGTGGTTCAGTTGGTTCGGTTAGTTATGTGGTACAGTTTGTGCAAAAGCTTCAGTTGCAATAGAATTCAAAATTTTAGGAATAAAAACAATTTACGTTTCTTTAAATCCGCAACATCAAAAGAAATATAATGTCCTATATATAATAATCATCCACCAGATTCCTAGACTCACTTATCTATTTGAGGTTCACCTCCTTGAAAAGCATAAGCAAAATGCCCCTCTGCTGCCTGTAACGAAAATGTGAAATGTAAGTCACATTGATGAAAGCATGAGGGTGATGAATAACACCCTAGCTCAAACTAAAGTTTCAAGAAATAAGATGGAGCACTAGTAAAAGCCAAAGGAAAAACAACAGTCTAATTGGCAACACTATTGCCCCGAGAAAAATAAAGTGTTTAACTATGCTGAAATTAGTATGTTCATAGCATGTTTACCCCTTCTAACACGATTTAGAGGTTAATTAACAATTTGTTTTTTTGGTTGCTCTGCAGTGGCACAACTGACGACAAAAATCAAGAATCTATCTTCATTGTGAGGAGAAAAGAAGATCTCCTTAGTTCATCAATACCAAATCTATGGCATGAATTGACCTCAAAGCTTCACTGTAAAAGCATTGGAAGACTGTCTTCATCGGATTCTTCCTAATAGTTTCTGTAAGGTATAAAATGGTTTAATTATAGATCTTCTGAGTATGGCCTCTTATCTCTTTCTGGAGTTTCATTTCAGTTAAATTGTTCGAGTGAGAGGTTTGAGGCATCTAGCTTGTAGCTTTGGATAATAGGTTTAGCAATTAGCATTGGAGCTCAGCTGGGTTTTCTCCTTAATCTTTCACTTTTACATGATATGATTATACAGAAAGAATGGGTATATTTGTTAGCAGATTCTATTTAATTGTTGTGTAATTAAATTTAAACCTGCAGTTTGCTTCTTCAAACTTTTAAAAACTGGGTGCCCCAAACCTCTCACTCGAACAATTTAGGGGTGGAATCGCATCGAACCGCACCATACCCACCCCTAGATGTTAGAGATGACGAGGAGGCTAAGAATTTCCGGCAGGTTTTTAGGGACGCAGTGAACTTATCCGGATCAACAAATATTGGAGACTTTTTGCCATTTTTTCAGTGGATGGATATGTTGGGAGTTGAGAAGAAGATGGTAGGGATGATGGCGAAGATAGACAAGTTCTTGCAGGGCTTGGTTCACGAGCGTCGTGTGATTTTGTCATCGAATCATGGATCGAATAATGGAAAAGGGATTAAGAAGTTAATGATTGATAACTTGTTGAAGCTCCAAGAAAAAGAGCCATATGCCTACTCAGACCATATAATCAAAGGAATCATTTTGGTAATTCATAAACACTCAACTGATCATTACATTTTCTTTCTGAAATTTAGAGGATCATTTATTCCAATAAATAACTATCATGAACCGTCGCAACGGTGATCAAAAGTCAAAACACCTCACCGACCCCTTGTATCACTATAAAATTCATCAGAAACTCGGAAAAATACAAATGAGATAGAGGTGCCTAATAATAAGCAAATATTGATAAGGACTAGATAATATATATATATATATATATATATATATATATATTAGTATAGTGAATTGTTAGGTTTATTGACTGTTAGGTTTATTGACTAATTAGTAGATGAGTTTATTTTGTTTATTCACATTTCAGAATATTAGGTTTATTGACTAATTAGTGTATGGGTTTGGCCATTTTCATAGTGAATTGTGAGGTTTATCATCTCATAGATGTGACGATGATAAATATTAAACGTGGTTAATACAGTTGTTTCATTGTAGTATCATAACTTTATTGTGAGTGACCTTATTCTATGCTATTGTAAAGGTTGTGCTAGTAGCTGGAACAGACACAACATCAACCACCCTGGACTGGGCAATGTCATTGTTGCTAAACCATCCAGAGGCAATGGAGAAAGTGAGAACTGAGACAGACACCAACGTCGGATGCGAGCGTCTGTTGGAAGAGCAAGACTTACCGAAGCTCAAGTACATGGAAAATGTGATCAATGAGACACACCGCTTGTACCCAGCTGTTCCACTTCTAGTGCCTCATGAAGTTTCTGAGGATTGTGTGGTAGGGGAATTCGATGTTCTACGTCATACGATGGTGGTGATTAATGCATGGGCCATTCATAGGGACCCGCAGATTTGGGAGGATCCTGATAAGTTTAAGCCAGAGAGGTTTCAAGGTTGGAGTGCAGAAGGAGCAGAGATATATAAGCTAATCCCGTTTGGAGGTGGAAGGCGAGGATGTCCAGGCGATGTCATTACCAACCGGCTGATTGGATTGACACTGGGAAGCTTGGTTCAGTCTTTTGAGTGGGGGAGGATTGGTGTAGAAGACGTGGACATGAGTGAAGGTTTGGGTGTATATGAGCATGCCGAGGGTCAAGCCCTTGGAGGCTATGTGCAAACCGCGCCCAATCATGCTATCTTCCATGTAAAAACTATTAAAGTTCTACTATAGAACTGAATTCGAAGATGGTTACATTTCATGCTCCCTTCTAGTCCCTTATAGGGTATCTCTTAAAAAAGCAAATAAACGATGTCATATGGTACTATGTGGCGGTGTTCCAGCTATAAAAAAATAATAATAAATAAATAAATCATTTGATGCATAGTGAGAACATATTCGTCTCTAGCCAACATAATTAGGCCTCTATGTGCAAGAGGAAGAAAACTTCAATGCTTGTCTCTGTAAGAGTATCTCTGTTTTGTACAAGGTTCTAAAAAACGTTAGGCGCTAGTCGGGTGGCGGACTGGCGCCTAGCACCTAGACAGCTAGGGGTTTAGGCGGGTGCCTAGGCAGCCGGGCGGATTTATAAATTTTTTTTTATTTAATTAAATTTATTACAACAAAAACTAAGTCTACTTAATAAGATGGGCTGTTTTCTTAATCCTAAATCAAAAATGAAAAAGATGATAAGCATATAAAAGCCCAGCCCAGCCTAACCCACCCCACCCCCACCCTTTCTTTATCACAAGTCTTCCCTCCTTTATTATAAGAATGCCTCGTTTCCATCAAATCATCCAGATAGCCTCATTTTTTATTTCTCATTCAACCCCTCGTTTCCATCGCCTTCACTCTTTTTTCAACAAAGAGCAGATGCGTGCTCTCTTCTCTCAACAGGCATTTCCTATCATCAGACCTCTTCCTCGCTAACCCTCAACTTTCATCCCAAAATCTCGAACGATCAAACAACATCAACATGGCCTGCTGGTCAAGCAACAGAAGAAATCTGAGGTGGATTCTTTGAATGATCAATGGGGTTTGTATGTATCGCCAAAATTTCCAATGCTCTTTCTCTCTTCTTGTCAGATCGCAGTGAGATGGAAAACCGTCGAGGTTCTTACGAGACCACCTAGATAGCGCCTAGGCGGCCGACTAACTCCCACCCGATTTAATGAACGCTTTGGCATAAATCCTGACGGCGCTCCACCGCCTAACGCCTAAGCACCCCCTAAACCGATTTTTAGAACACTGATTTTGTAATATACTCTCATATCCTAGCTTTAAAAAGTAGGCAATCTTCTAGCCACTAGTTACAACAATACGCTGACGTGGCAAATGCCCTTATGTACCTAAGAGCAGTTCCACTGGGGAACCTTTAGGCCGGCACCCAGCCAAATTATTGGCCTGGCACCCAGCCAATCCACTCCAGCCGAGCAGATAGGCTGGCACCCAGCCCAAGCTGGTCTCTAGGCCGGCTCAGAATGTGCTGAGCCCTTGCCCGACCTACATGACGCGTCACACCTCCCTCGACCTGAATTCGACTCCCTGGGTGAAAACACTTTTCCCCCGCTATAAATACCATAACCCACCACCTCCATTTTCATCAGCTTAAATTTCCTTACCTTTTTTTCATCGACTCAAAACCTTCCTAATTTCCTTACGCCGTGGCACTCTCCGGTGCCCTACCTATTCGGAGGCCTGGCGGGGATGTTGGGTCTGATTGCTTTTGCTCTGTTGATCCTTGCCTGCTCTTACTGGAAGCTTTCGAGCCGGTTGGAGGGCAGAGAAGGAGGCGAGCGAGACTTAGAGAGCGGCGGCGGCGACGAGAAAACCAGCGAGCTTAACTCCCACAAACTTACCTTCGTAACTCAACTTTGGAGCTTCAATCGAAATGGAGAGGTGTTTCAGCTGTGGGTTGCATCGTTTCGCAGTGTGGGTAGGGTTCCAGAGAGAAGAAGAAGCAGGGAGTCCAGAGTGAAGAAGAAAAATTAAATTATTATTTTATAATAAAAAATAATAATATTTTAATAAAATGGACTAGGCTATTTTTTTTAGGGATGGAGATGCTTTGGCCTATTACTGTTGACTGTGGTCTATTACTGTTTACTTGAGTGGATAAATGCGCTGGGTGCTAGCGCAAAGTCTGTAGGGGTGGAACTGCTCTAATACCCTCCCCTCAATATTAACTGGGTATCCCAATTCAAGGGAAAATTTTTAGGTGTACCGGATACACCAAATTTTTTTGGTGTACCCTTACTCATTAAAATTTTTTTGGTGTACAAAAAGTGAGGGTGCACCAAATTTTTTTGGTGTACCCTCACCATTATGAGTGAGGGTACACCAAAAAAATTTGGTGTGCCGGGTACACCGAAAAATTGCTCCAATTCAAGACTGAAGCAACATCAGCTGTTGTATGTGCCATAGCCTTGTACTATGCTTTTGTACAACTTCTAGACACAGAAGACTATTTCTTGTACCTTATGAATTAGATCCTTGTCATATTTGGACTAAATATTGTATGTCTCAAAACAGGGCTAGAAGTCTCATTATAATCCAAACCTTTTTATTAACTAGACCCACGAGCTACCAATCGAGCCTTATACTTTGCTACAGATCCATCAGAATTTCGTTTAATCTTATATGCACATTTACTATCTATTACATTCTTATCATCAGGAGAAAGAGGTGCAAGAGTCCAAGAACCCAAATGAACAAAAGATAAACACGGCTCATAATGAGTTTCAAAGTCTGTCTCCTTCCAGTCATTCCCTTATGTTGGAGTCTGTGTATATGGACATGAAGCACAATGCAAGATACCATGATCATTAATTTTGTTTTTTTTTTCAAAAAATATACTACTCATAAACTCACCACCACCATCAGATCGTAAAATTTACATTCTAGCATCAATCTGAAAAACCTAATATGGTACAGTTAACTCTCATCACCATCATCTTCACCATACATAGCTAAATTCACACATGCCCGCCGTCTCTTCCCATAATTGGCCACCTCCATCTTCTCCGGAAACCAATCAACCGCACCCTCCAATCTCTTTCTTCCGAACACGGCAAACTTCTATTTCTCCGGTAGGTTTCCAGTAGAGTCCTGGTCATTTCGCTTTCCATCGCCGAAGAATGTCATGCGCATTTGTTTATTTTCGTTTCTTGATTCTCCTTTGCTTCATTTCCAGTTTGAGGAGTGCATAATTTATATATTATTTAAGTTGAGAGACAACCAGGAAACAAAAAAAAAAAACTGAGAGACAAAAATGCAACCCGAAGTCTGGAACTTTAAGTTCAAGGATGATGGCTATACAATGTATCCATTAACAAACACTTGCCCAAGGAAAATGTGGGCTTGCTCGGGATTACATCTCTAGAAAGTACGGGCTTGTTGGGATTGCTTCTTTAAAAAGTACTTTTGTTCATAAGTAATGCTTTTGCTTCTAAACAATGTTGAAATTTAAATAAAAAAAGTTCCACAGCGGCTGTGTCCAAGAACAAGTGTCTGCCTTTTGTCTTTTCTCTGGCTCCTCAACTTTATCCCTTATCTCGCACTCAAATAATTTTGATTTCTTTACATTATTTTTCTCTGCTTTTTATCGATTGCCGCTTACCAACTGCCAAAATCTTTAAAAACTATGCAGCAGAACTCAAATTAAAACTAAAGAAAAAGACCAAAAACACTGAAAATTAATCAAAACTCAACATTTCACCAAAAAAATCAATCAATCAAAAGATGGAAGAACAGTCGCCCTTCTTCTGGTATACTACTTCAGCTCTCATCGCCATCTTCCTCACCTTCCTTCTCACCACAATGAAACCAAAACCCAAATTTACGAATCTACCCCCTTCCCCGCCATCTATTCCAATCATCGGCCACCTCCACCTCCTCAAACATCCAGTCCACCGAACCCTCCAATCCCTTTCTTCAAACTTGGGTAAAATCATCCTCCTCCAATGGGGTTCCCGCGCAGTCCTCTTGGTCTCCTCCCCTTCTGCCGCCGAAGAATGCTACACCAAGCACGACGTTGCCTTTGCCAACCGCCCAAGCCTGCTCGCCGGAAAACACTTCCACTACAACTTCACAACCGTCGCGGCGGCTCCCTACAGCGACCATTGGCGTAACCTCCGCCGCATCATGACTCTCGAGATTTTCTCCTCCTCCCGCCTCGCCGCGTTTTCCAGCGTCCGGCAAGGGGAAGTCCGTCTGTTACTGACCCAGATCATGAAAAAGTCAAAGATCGAGCTCAAGTCCAAATTCACGGAGCTTGCGTTCAACGTGATGACGATGACGGTGGTGGGGAAGCGGTACTTCGGCGAAGACGTGGCAGCGGACGAGGAGGCAAAGAATTTCCGGGAGGTGATGAGGGAGGCGGTGCACTTATCGGCGGCGACGAATTTGGGAGATTTTTTTCCGGTTTTGCAGTGGACGGATGCGACAGGGTTGGAGAAGAAGATGGTGAGGCTAATGAAAAAGATGGACGGCTTCTTGCAGAGTTTGATTGAGGAGCGCCGTGGGATTTTGGCGGCGGGTTTTGAATCGAACGGCCAAGAGGTGAAGAAATTGATGATCGACAACTTTTTGGCGCTACAACAAACAGAGCCCCAATTATACACCGACGAAATCGTCAAGGGAATCATTTTGGTAAATTACATAATCCTGCAACTTTTTTTGTACACGGCAGTGTTCTAGTTAAGTGAAAATTTAGGCTAAACACACCACGGTTCTTCCTAATTTCATATCAAATTCGTAGTCGATATTAAATATGAACTTTTCATAATAAAAATCATGGATAAAATGCCCAGTCCTGTCCACATGAACTTGATATAGCTAGATGCATTGATTAAATATTTGAGTGATTATGTGTCACCGTGTGTATACATCTGTTTGTATGCATCTTTCGTCATATGGTCACGGAACCACGCGTTTGTACATTGAGTAAACATGATCACGATATAGGTGGCCAAGTCACGTCAGAGGTGTGTATCGTCGATGATATAACAGAATCTCTCCCTTTGAATTATAAATGTCTACTAATCAAATACTAATCGTAGGTGTTGCTGGTAGCTGGGACAGACACAACATCAACAGCCCTACAATGGGCAATGGCACTCTTGCTAAACCATCCGGATGCAATGGAGAAATTAAGAGCCGAGATAGACACCAAGATTGGACCAGATCATCGTGTGTTGAAAGAGCAAGACTTGCCAAACCTGAGCTACTTACAAAATGTGATCAACGAAACGCATCGTTTGTACCCTTCGTTTCCAATTCTAGTGCCTCATGAAAACTCAGAGGACTGCGTGGTAGGGGGATTCGACGTGCCACGTCACACAATGCTGGTGATCAATGCGTGGGCTATCCACAGGAACCCTGAGATATGGGAGGACCCCGAAAAGTTTAAGCCGGAAAGGTTTGAAGGGTGGAGCGGTGAGGGGTCCGAAGGGTATAAGCTGATTCCATTTGGGGCTGGAAGGCGAGGGTGTCCTGGGGCTGGCCTCGCGAACCGGTTGATTGGGTTGGCGCTGGGAAGCTTGGTTCAATCGTTTGAGTGGGAGAGGATTGGTGAAGAGGAGGTGGACATGAGTGAGGGCTTGGGGCTTACGATGCCAAGGGTCAAGCCCTTGGAGGCTATTTGCAAACCACGCCCAATCATTCTATCTTCCATGTAAAAATTGGACCATAAAGTCCAAAGCACAATACTACTGCTTGATTATTTCCTTTGCTTTGATTGATAGAATCAATATATATGGTTTGACTGTAATAATCAAGTTCAAAGTTATAATTCTTGCAGTTGAATCTGTCAAAGACTCAAAACAGTGGGTTAAGTTTCCTTGTCATTCAAAAGTGCTTGTTCTTTTCTTGATTGATCCATCCATGATCGGATGATCCGTACGGATTTCAACGGTCAAAAGGCAATTTTCAAATTTGCTTCTCAAAGCAAGGGAGATTTTTTTTATTTTTTTATTTTTTTTACGGACAAATGCCAACAGCATTCAGGATACAACTAATACAACCAGCTTATTATTTTGGGGGTGTAATATCGACTTATTAATTTATGTCTTTTGTTTTTCTTAAATTTATTGGATCTAATAGTCGAAAATGAAGAGAGTATGTGAAATCTAAGTAAAAATAAGTGTTTTGATAACACACCCTATCATCTTTATGTGAATTTCTCGTAAAATCTACTAATATAATAATTTTAGGATTGCTGTTATCCACACACTTTATTTCATGTTTAATAATTTTTTTTGAAATTAAATGACAAAAATTAACAAAAATGTGTGGATAACACCACCCTAACTTTATATACATGAAGAAGGACTTTTACTCAACAAATTCGTAGGTTGATGTATGACATTATGCCAAAGAAATTTATTAGTGGTTCAAAGTTAAGGTTGTAAAATTTAGCTTAGTCCTTTATTTTATTGACATGAATAAAACAATAACAATACATCCGTGAAAGTTTAAGGATAATAAGATGCCGTTGAAGTTGAAGACACATGGGAGTAGCAAAAAATTGCAATGCGGGTAAAATCGTGGCTACTATAACAAGTATCAGACGACATATAACAACTGATCTCTCACTGGTACATTGCATATCCTGAAAAGGACCTAAAATTAGAGAACTGGAAAGGACAGAAACGGACAATCCAAAAAAGAAACAGGCACTTTCAGGTTCAGTTCAGGCTTCTAAAGGGGTAGGGGCCCTAAGGTGCTAATATAATCAACAAGTTCAATTTACACAATAATTTCGTATACTAAACAACCAAATAGATTAAAATAGGTGGGCACAGTACTAACTTAGCCAACTGTCTAAACCAACGTCCGTTAAGAAAAACCATTTACCGATGAAGCCTGATGAAGTTGACAAAATGAGTAGTTGTACCTTCAAAATGTTAATTTGTTTTGTTTCTTCACATTAATTCCTCAACGATTATGGAGAGGATCTGAAGCGTTAGGAACTCTCCTCTTGCTTGAAAAGAAGGCCTCCAACGAGTGCTTTGAATTCAAACGCCGCTGCTGCTGCTTATTATTCTCTTGTTCCTTCTCTGCTTGCTTATTCGGTGACAACGAGAAGTAGTGCTGCTTGCGCAAACCAAGTTGCATTGTGTTTTCCCTGTCCCCGGAAACCAGCATTGGGAGAAAGACCAAGACTATTAGCACCACGAACTTCTGAAATTGCATAACTGTGGCTTGTGGGGTTTCAACTTTCAGGTCTGAGAGGAGAGATGAAAAGAGGAGGGGTCTGAAGAGGGAGTTTCAGAAAGGCAAAGTGTGGAAAAGCTGCATGGCTATGTTTGGAATTGTTGAGACGAGAGAGAGAGGGGAAAATAAAAGGTGACATGTGGTGCAATTGAGTATACCCTGCAAACAAGGGACGCTTCCCACGAGAGCACATTTTTTGTTTGCTTTTCCTTTGTTTTGTAAAATATTTCTTTGTTTTTCACGAGAACTCTTTTTCCTGGCTTTCTTTTTCTGGTCAGAAACCCTCCCAGGCTTTCCAGTCCCCTAAAACAAGGCACTCATGCATCTCACTCCACTCCAAGCCAAGGTTATTTTTTCTTCTATTCTATTAAACTAAGGGTTAATTGCAATTGTGTTCCTTAACTTTTGGAATGGTTTCACTTTGGTTCTTAGATTATTTCTCGTCGCAATTTTGTCCTGAACTATATAAAGTGCATCTAATGAGGACAACAGTGACGTTTGTTATAGAAATTGACATCAATCGGGTGACTTTGCCTTGGATGCGGATTGGGTGGAGTTTTGGGCGAAACTGCGCAATGCCGACATATCGGTTGGTAATTGTCAGATGCACTAAATTAAGAGGAAATACACTTGCACAAATAGAAGGGGATACAAGGAATATAGCAAACACTAAATGGATTTATTGTAAGTAGCTTATTGATTTTTCAAACCGACAATTGATCAGTTGATGTGAATTAGTTTTCATCTTCTATCAGTCGACATAATTGGTTGTATATCATTTTGCAGATTTATTTTGTTTCTTCAATCCCTCAACCTTATATGTGATTACTTTTTATGCGCATTCTGACCAATGCAAAATAGATTACAACGTCATGTTGTTATTGAGTTTGCATTTTCACTTTACAAAAATATTAGAAAAACGCTGAGAAATAGAAGAAGAATGAAAGGGTGCAACCAATTTTTTTATAGATAGAAAAAGTCTATTTGTTTTTACCTACATCTTATGTCACGCCACACGATTATTTTTATCAACTTTCATAAAAGAGTGTGACAAATTGTCCTAATTAAAGGCAATTGTAAATGTTCATGGACCAAACTATGAAGAATAAAAGTTAGAAGGACGAAGGTGAGAAACCCTAAAATACAGTATGGCGAAGTTGGCCATATCTTATGCTAGTTGTCCGGACGGGTTGTGCTTGTCGGCTTTGGAAGGTAGTCAATGTTATTCTCTCCCTAGCTACTTAATATAGGAAGAAATGTAAGAGATTTTTGTGTTTCGCAAACACGATTAAATACAATTAATTAAATTTAAAAAACAGTCAATTTCAAATAATTATATTATAAAATGTGAAATGGGTCGTGTTTCTAACACTGAACAATTTCTCATGAAAATATGAGTAATGTTATTTATATCATGTTTTTGTACCACATTTTCATACCACCTTAGGTAACATTTGATGTAAACAGTCACATCATTTGAATTAATCAGATTTTTTTAATTTAGTTCATTATTTAATAAACTAATAATTAAGAAAAGCTAATTAATTAAATGATGATTGTAGTATACAATGAGTCTTTCTCCTTCATTTCCTTGAGTTTTGCAAATTTTTCAAATGATGTGGCTGTTAACATCAGATGACATCTAAGAAGGTATAGAAATATGGTATAAAACATAATATAAAAAATATTACTCTAAAAATATATACGTTGCTTTTTACAACATTGGAAAGTGTGAAATCATCATCATCATCATATGCATCCAAGGACAAGGACTTTCCTTCTTCATGGAAAAGGTTACCATACGAATATGGAACTATACAATAATTCAAATCTTTTTTTTATTTTTCTTTGTTATTTAAGGAGACAGATAAATTATAATACTTCTCAATTATTTACTTAAACTAGAGGATTAATTTGAGTGGTCAAATCATGCGTGCTCGAGTCTTTTCAAAAGTTTTTATTCTCCTTTCCACCTTTTCATGCTTTATTTGAGAATTCCTTTCCTTCCGAATGCAGCGCCGCGAAATGGCATCCACCCATTTATTCAAAGATTCAAGCTCTGACGACCATTTTTTTGCTTGTCTTATACGCCACCGTGACTGGCACTAATATCTGCATACGAGCCGTGCATGGAAAGCCTACGTCTTGAAATTCTTGGATGGACTTGGAAGCAAAAGAGCATAGATCAACCTCTTATAGATATTTGGGGTTTAGTTTTAGGATATCTTTAATCAATCGATCATAAATTTTAACAAATTTCATCACAAAAGTTAAAGATATGGCTTGGAATTAAGGTGATTTTAAAAAAAAAAAACTGGTATGAAAAAAAACTGACAGAGTTTTTGGTGTTTGGTAAACACCCCAAACCAACTTTTTTTCAAAGTTTCAGATGAAAAAAAAGCTAAAAGGTGAAAGCTGCAAAAAGCAGCTTCAAAAAGTGGCTTATTTTCAAAGTTTCTCCTGATTCCTCGCACTTTCAGGAGGAAGAACAACGTCACCACGTCCCCGCGACCCAGCTCTAATCCGTTGATCAAGAATTGCAAATCGACGACCCGATCGTCAATTTCTTCATCGCCACCTTTCTCCGTCTCCATCTCTGCCTCTAGCTCTATCATCAGAAATGGTGAATTTCTCAGCCTTGAACGTGAGGCTAGAGCGCACAATTTCAGAAACCCTAGTCCCGTAAGTTCCATTAAACCCTAATTTGGAGGTGGAGTGAGAAGAGGAGGAGAAAATGAGGATTGGGGCGATCTGATTGGGGCCGAAGAGGGAGTGAGCATCGTCGTCATTGCCGGATAAGAAATCGTCGTCTAAGGTTTCGACGCGGGTGAAGTGAAGAAATGCGAGGTGTCGGTCGCGGAGAGAGATCGGAGAAAAGGACTCGACTGAAGATATGGGAGAACGGTGGTTGGTATTGTCCGGCGCCAGCAAGGTCAAGGTAGGAGAGAAGGGTCACGGTCGACGAAGGAGGTGAGGAGATGGGTCTCATTTTCAACGACCGTGCGGAATGAGAAGATGAGGAAGGAAATGATGACGAAGGTGAAGAGGTTGCTAACGAACGATGATGTGGCTTGTCATAGCACATCTAGTATTATACCTTTTTGGTCATTTCACACAATCGCAACTGTTTTACATAAAAGTTTACCAAACACTCTGCTGCTTTATTTCACAGTTGCTTATTCTCACAGCACAGCAAAAGCAGCTTTTTTCAAAGCATAGCAGTACCAAACCAGCCCTAAATTCGAATTTTTTGTCACATGACTATCTCTTGAATACCTTATGACCCTGACGAACAATTATCCGATTAGGCCAAATTTTTTATGTCTAGCTGGCCTAAACCTGCAATTATTTTCTTTAGTTTAAAGTTTGGCCCAACTGTAAAAGGAACCTAAAAACTTTGGCCCAATCTTCTAAATCTTTCTAGCATAGAGTTAATCGGACCCAAATTTTTTGTATGCAAGGTGGCCCCAACCCAACCAAAACGCCATGCTAGCTACCGTCGCTCAACTACAACATAACTAAGAGAACTTCAGTGTTACAAATGCCCCTAGGGCAACTCACTATTGAATCCACCCGGTGAACAGTACCTGCC